GGGAGCAAAACCAAACAGCTTTTTTCTACCCTGCCCATGTTATATGCAAGTATATGCAGTATTTCAAAAAACACACAGTTTCACAAGCTGTGTCCTAGAAATCAGTAATGAAGCAAAGAGTAGGCCAGCCTAGCCTTCAGACCTAAGAAAGTCCAGCAATTTTGACAATACTTCTTGAAGCAATTCCCTCCCTCCCAATCTGTTGCCATTTGTTGTATCTGCATATTCTCAAGCCTTTCTGTCACTGCAATGTACTTGATTTGTCCTTCTGAACCAGATAATGCTTGTGCGATAAACTCATCCTCATACTGTTAAAGAACCAGCAAAGAGAAATATCTTTAGAGACAGAACGAGGTGGGCATGCCAACTGAAATATTGTGATTGCCTCAACCCTGTTCTCAGTGAGAAACTAATTGCAAAACATCACAGATACAATGTGGTGTCTGCTAGTTACGGAACAGAAAGTGTGATCCTGTGCCAAAATGGTTTCTTGGAGGAAAGGTTATTTGGCCCAGGCTGAGTTTCTGAATGTAGCGCAGATGCCATCATGTGCTCGGTCAAGCTGTTTGATGAGAACTCATTAAAAATGCTGGCACGGGATATAAAAAATAAATAAAAGATGCTCTTTATGATTTGAGTCTTTTGTTCTATGAGGTTCATCGGAGGAACAGTGTTCTAAAACAATGAGATACTGGTGATGTTCTAGGACTAGTGTCCTGTCACCTATATTCCTACAAATAAAGTCTTGAAGAGCAAATGTTTAAAGCAAAAATAGAGCATTTTAGGATTTCCTGAACAGCAGCTGCAAGTATACCTGTCCATTAGCTATGTAGGCAGGACTCCTCAGACCCGAGGGTCAACAATATCTAGTGAGCCACAAGTTCAATAGGGCCTTACAACAAAACCCAGAGGGAAATGGTTTTGTACTCAGGAGAAGAAGAAGGAGAAGGAGAATATAATGTATTGTCTAGAAGAAGAAGTTTCATATATTCATACCTGTTGCAATATTTTATCTTGCAACGGGTATTTTATTTAGCTATGGCAGTTAGGACTCATCAGACCCAAGGGTCAACTATATCTAGTGAGCCACAGGTTCAATAGGGCACCTAAACAAGTGGAAGGGATATGGGGCTGTACATGGGATCCCTGTTCCTAACTTCCCTGCCTTCCTGGTGTTGAGCAAGGAAGTGAGAAGAGAACTTCTGCTGGCATTTTGTTGAACACAAGTATATGTTCGTATGTAGGCTTAATTTTCTCTTCAGAAGTGGCTTTAGATTTTACACACAATGGCTCAGCTAGATCTAGTGATTTCATTTCATTTTTGAAATTGAGAACTTTGTTCCACTTTTTGTCAGAGAAGGGCTTCCATCTCTTTCAAGAACCAAAGTGTATTGTGGTTGTATTTCATGGGACACTCTAAGAGTGTGAGAAAGGTCGAGAGTCCCACCCTTGGTGTGAAGAAATCACAATCCCTTAATCCAGTGGGAAGACGTTTATTGAAGAACAGCAACTGGAACTTGGGAGGATGTGTGTGAAGGGTGGGGCTGGGGGAAGATAAAAGGAAAAGACCCCAAGAAGGAAGGGGAGGAGGGAGACCAAAGGTATTTAGATCTTTCTATGATGAGACAGCAATAAAGAACTATTGTGACTAGTTTAACAATTTATTGTTAAACTAGTTACAGAACTCCTCTCATTACAGAGCTTAAGCTATTCACAGGAATTGGATCCAAAGGCTATAAATGCATATAGGGACTTACAACAGAGCCAATAGCTACTAATTAGAATTGAATTCAAGCATCATAGATAAGAATAACACCCAAAGAAGATATTACGAAACAAGGGAAACAACCCAGGAGACCTTGTTGTGTTACTGTTCCTGACTTTATATATTGATGAAGAACCTTCTACAACATAGAAATTGTTATTTTGGAAGCTGAAATCTCATTATATTGCATTTAAGAATATTTGAGTTACTATTTCTGATGTCATGTACTTATGAAGAATCTCCTGGTATATAGTAATTGTTATTTTGGAAGCTTAAGTTTAGTTGTGTTGACAAAACATTGATAAACAATCTTTCATTTATAAACAGTTACTAATTAATCGTGTTAATGTTCCCACGTTACGTTTAATGAAGAATTTCCTGTAATATAGAAATTGTGATTTGCAATTTGCAGTTTTTGTATTAGTTTAACAATTTACCTGCTTCTGTTTGAGGATTGTTAGCTTATGTTTTCCTTACCCACATGGCAGAGGAAACACTTTTAGACATGCATGCCACACCTTATGCCATTCCTCTGCCAAATGAAGAGAGAAAAACTCCCACAGGCGCACTGAAGATGTCCACATAGAAAAAGAAGACAGGGTCCTGTAGTTTTTCTCTAAAAGACAGAATTTCAGCGGGTGTATTGAAATTAGTTTTCAAGAACTTTGTTCCACATTGTGCTATATGAAAATCATGTCTGGAATAATTACCCAAAATGGGATGAACCTTTTAAACAACTTTAGCTGAGCAATCATTTTTCCATAATGGTTTTAAACCAAAAGATACCATAATAGAGACATTTAATTTTTTTCCAATGATTGTCTCTACCGTTATTTAAAAAGTATTCTTATCCAGGCTAGATCTAAATGAATGAATGGTGCCATATATCAGCTGATTTTGGAAGTTCAGTAGGGTCAGTTCTGGTTAGTATTAGTACTTGAATAGAGGATTACCATATAATACTTGATGCTATGGGCTATATTGCAAAGGAAGCAATAGCAAGCCATCTCTGAACAGTCCTTGCCCAAGGAAACATTATTAAATTCAGGAGGTCACCATAACTTGACAGATGACTTGAAGGCACAGTCACATACCTTTTCCAGGTAATCAAATCCTTCTACAAAATATTACTTTCAAAATATTGAACAACGTCTGAGACACACCCCAGGCTTTGGAGAGTGTAGCATGTGTTCCTTTCACCACTCCCTAGCAATATGAGCTCATTATTTTACATTTCTACTTTAATATGAAGGTTAGTGTCCCTGTCATCCTGTCCTCTCCACTGTTTCTTCAGAACTGTTTTGTGTACTCTATAAATTACAAAGCATCAAGATAGCATCATTATCAGAGCTTGAATATTTATTCCACTGTTTCGGATACTTTTAGTAGGAACTGATTGTTACTCATCTTTTTTATCCCATGTTTCCACAACTTCTTGAAAGTACAAAGTGAAAAACAAAAAGATACCCCCAAAAAATCAGCAGCAAATATGCTTACTTGTTTTATTGAGTGTGACGAAATGTAACAAATAAATGCGAATGCTCCAAGGCTATCTCTCTTGCTCTGTTTCTGCTCAGCATGGTCTTCAAAATCCAGGCTTCTTGAGTCCTATTTAAATTATAGAGGAAAGAGTGAGCTTATGTTGTAAATAGCATGTTCAAAACCTCGTATGAGTTACTTAAAGGGATTCCTAATTCTGTTAATTTTAATTTTAGCACTTTTCAACTTGTGGTACATTTGTCTTCTGAAGTCTAGCTCTGCTATAGTTCAATGATGTCATTTCCACGTCTTATCCCTCAAATTCCCCAGTGCACATACCAAAATATTGTTATTCCACGTGGCTGTTTTTGTAACAAGTAAACATGAAAAAGATTGATTGATGATTGGATACATGAATGGGTAACTTAGTGATATAAAGCAGTCTCCAAGTTGGTATTGGAGACTCATGATGCCATGGACCAGTACTATATTTATCCCAGTGGCAACTGTTGTTGTGGTACACTCAATTCATTTTCGACCTATGGCAACCCTAAGGTGAACCTATCACAAGGTTTTCTGGAGCTCAAAGTATGCAATTTGCCCAAATTCTCCTAGTGGTTTTCCATGACCATGCTGGGAATCAAACCCTGGTCTTTAGAGTTATAGTCTAATGTTCAAAACACTGCACCTGGTCATTGGCAACAGTTTTTTGGAAACTCCAGGGACCAGCTCTTTGAGTATTGCTGATCGATTATCTGCTTTTCTTGCTGAATTGTGTCACTTCCTGTTACTGTAGAGAGAGCTTTTGCAAGTCAAGGTAACCTTGTTCAGCATCTGATCCAGCAAGCATGGCCAATGGTCAGTGCTGGTAGAATTTTTAGTCCAACAGCTTCTTGATATACAGTAATGAGCCAGAGGTATTAATACTCTGACTCAGTGTAGGGCAATTCCATATATTCTTCTTCCAAGGGCAGATGGCAGTCCCTTTTGAAAAATTTGGGCATGTTAATCTGGTCAGGTACTGAAGGACTTGAACCACATATCCTGAATTAAAGGTGAAACATCCTAGATCAAAGGCTGTGTTCTTGTAGGTAGGTTTAACACCTGAATTAGAAATTCAGGACCATAACTGAATTAGAAATTCAGGACCAGTAAAGGGCTGCGATCATGTTGCTATATAGAGGAGCCAGCAGTAGAAGTCATGTATCTTTACTACTAGAAGATCCAGTGGTCTACACTGCTTCCCTATATTTCAAGAGTTAGAGCGTATGGAAATATAATAACAATAATGGTTTGACAATGGTTTATTGATGGATTCAGATTCCAAATCATGCAGGAACCCCGTTATATCCACAGTCAACTGCAGTTAAACCCCACAGAGGGATTTGTCCTCCAGAAGGGTGGTACCAAAAGGGAAACAGGAGGTGATCCTGCATCCTGCTTATAATGCATTACAAATTGGAACAGCTAGACTTCACTAGCTCCTAGTACATGGATGCAAAACAAATTGAATTCAGCAATAACTGTACTTGACAGCTTATAAGCTCATTACTCTTACACAGCATAATAGAACAATTCCATAGGAAGTAAGTGATTGTTCCTAGTTAAACATACTGTGCCAACAAAAAAAAACCTTATTTAACTTCCTTTACATCACTGCTTGAAAGAAAAATATTGATGTTGTTCAGGACTGTGGTTTGTTTATCACATCTGTGTCACATGAACTCCTAAATAAACACATGTCAACTCTTTACAGGAAGAAAACGAAATCCCTGCCAGCGTCTTTGTCAAAGAACCTGTTCCCAGCATTACTGACGGGAAGGAAGGGTCTGTTGATGAGAATAAAACTTTGGAGGAAACAATGCACACTGTAGAGTTATCCTCAGAGGATGAAGCTCCCCATGATGAAGGTGCAGAAGACAGCATGGATGAAAAATTAGAGGAGACCAGAGCTGAGAAGATCAAGAGGTCAAGCCTCAAGAAGGTGGACAGCCTGAAGAAAGCATTTTCTCGGCAAAATATCGAGAAGAAGATGAACAAGATTGGCACCAAGATTGTGTCAGTTGAACGGAGAGAGAAGATTAAGAAGTCTCTCACCCCTAACCACCAGAAATCATCCTCATCAAAGAGCTCATCCTTCAAGGTTTCTCCCCTTACATTCAATGTGAAGAAAGTTCGTGATGGAGACACTTCCATGGAGGGGGAAGACAAAGCAGCAGAAGTTACTGGCAGCGAGCACACAGCAAATGATGAAGAGACCTCCTTCACCGAGATCCACTCAGACATGGCCTCTCACACGCCTCCAGCTGAAGAGGGAAAAGCCTTGGCCGACTCTCTGGAAAAAGAAACAGGAAGTGAAGGAGATGCAGCGGTGAACAACAACATTGAGCTTGCGATTGTTGAAGAAGGTGACAACTACAGGCCCTCATTAGAAATCAGGCAGGAACATTATGACGAAAGGCACAAACCGACCAAGGGTGAAATGGAACAATTGGATGAAGAATCGAGCCGACCAGCTGTCCTCCATGTAGACCAAACAGCATAAATCATCTGAGCCCTTTTTATGTTTCTCTAAATTCATGCATTTTTAGCTACAGCAATAACCTGGGTGTAAGTCTGTTACACATGAAGCTAGGGGTAATAGCAAGTTAAGGTGAAGTTGCTGCTGTTTTTAAGATAGATTTCTACACATGTCTAATTTCATGACATTAGGACTGAAATCCACAGTGAAAAGTGAGGTCTGATACCCAGGGTAATTTAGAGTTAAGTCTGTTGACATTTTGTAGACAACATCAACCACCATGCTTAGTGCCTGCAACTCCTCCAACAATTTCTATTATTAGGTAAGAGCTGTTGCAGTTAATTGTATCTCAGGATGCTGGGGGGAGAGCTATAAAACAGTGTTTAAAAGAACCTGCAAAGAAAGTTAGGCCAATTGAGGAGGAAGAGCATAACTATCTTACATATTTAATCACTTTAGCATTCATTTAACTCCCTCCGCCCCCAAGAATCTTGGGAATTGCAGTTCACGGAGGTGCTGAGCGTTCTCAGAGATCCTCCGCTCCCACTCCAATGAACTTCAGCTATGAAGGTTCTCTAGGGAGAAATAATGTGTGTTCAACTAAGGCTAAACCAGGGGTACAGCTTTTATCTTACGTTTTGTCAGCAAAAAAGCACCCCTTGCTATTTGTTCATTCAGATACACATTTCCAGTGTATTTTCCCTTCCTGAACACGTTGCCCAGGAAGCATGAACCCGAGGCAAAGGGTGAGCCTACATTGAAAAGGACACTTAGCTGCCTTCTGACCCCAAAAATGGGAGGGAAAGGGGGTATACTTGCTGTGCCCTCTTTGCAAGTTAACTAGCTGCTCAACTTTTCAAAACTGCATACCATAACTTGTACACCATGTGCTATTACCTTCTTGTGGATTTTTTTTTGGGGGGCAGTTTTAGCTATTTCCCTCCCAATGAAATAGTCACATTTGGGGGTCCTTGGGTTAAGTTTTTTGATACTGCATTGCTCCCACAATGTGTTTCCCCCTCTTAAAGCAGGAACCTTGTTGAACAGAGATGGAAATCCTGTTGCCCTCAAGGTGTTGTTGGACTTCCGCTCCTAACATTCCTCATCATTGACTCTATTGGCTCAGGTTGTTGGGAGTAGCGGTCCATACCTGATGAGCATCAGAATTTGCACTCTTGCTGTATGACAAGAGCAATAGGATAAATAATTGAAAACTAGCCCTTCCAGCTACCCCATAGGGATCTACATGCACTCCTTGGATAAGAATATGTACATTTACCAATTAGAAATGATGCAGATGGGCACTGCATTGTAGTATCAAAAATAATAAAAGGATCATACCATTGTTGCTTTAACATTCATTTAGTGACTACTGAGACAGAGCAATTAGCTTATGTGGTTGTTAGCGAAAGGGACCCATTAATCATCGCTTTATTCATCTTTCCAATATTGTGTCCATTCTTTTTTAGGTGCATGTCTTGTTTTATTTTGAACATTGTTAACATTCTAACATTATGAGAACTACAGTGCAGTCCTATGGTATGTACTCATTGAGTACAACAGGACTTGTTCCCAAGTGAAAGAGTTGTGCCTTAGTATATTAGTAAAGAGGGATCAGTGATGGATGGTCTAGTGAGGACCATTTCCACATGCCCCCCAGGATCAATTTGAGCAAACATTTTTATTTTATTATTATTATTTTGAATGGGAGTAGTAGCTGACAGTCTTTCAAGGTCTCCAGTCCCCTAGTCTCCCACAGTTGTCTTCCCCTACCTTGATACTTCATGTTTATGACTCCAAACATCTTCAAGATACATGCCTTGCCTCTGAGTCTGAATTACAGAGATTTTAGCCTAGGCAAGTTATTCATGGATAGTGATGGGAAAATGCAGATCCATTACAGTTGACGTCTAATCAGCCCAAGTCTTTATGGCCAGTGATCAGACATGATGGGAAGTGCATCATGAACAGTTGAAATCCTACGGATTCCTTATTGCTGACCTCAAATAAAGAGCCCTGAGAAACATAACTGTGAGAATTAGATATCTGTCTTGAATCTCTGTGCCCCTTAGAAATATTCTGGTGCAGGTGGGAAGATATCTTGTGAATGTGTTTCTCTTGCAGAAGTTGGGCTGTCGTCTTTTGTGCCTGTGGTCCCATTCCCACAAGGAAACTACTGTGGGCATAATGATAAGTGGGAGATGGGTGGTGCTTTTAATTGAGAAAGCAAGCTGATCATTTGTATAGTATAATACTCTTTTCTAGAGATTTGCTCATGTTCCAAAAAAATATTCCCTCTCAGAAGTGTTTATGGACCGCTCTAGGTTCTCCAGTGCTTTTCTATGCTATGCTCTGGCCCAAGTATAGTCAAAATATCGGGTTCACCGTAATCCATGGTTTCAGGTATCCATGGGAGGATCATGGAACATATCCTCCGCAGATACAGGAGTCGTATTGTATGAACTTAGCACTGTCTGTATATCCTCTCTAGCTGAGTTTGCTCTTTTTGTCCCGAGTATGCTGATAATGTATATACACATACATACATACACACATATATATATTATATTATATTTTAAAAGAGAGCAATTTTTAAGAGAGAACAGTTCCTTACTCAAAACAATTATGTTTAAATGGCAAAAGGGAGATATATATTGTAATCTAAGCAGTCTGTAGAAATAATTATCAAATAGATTCTTCTATGCAACCCAACTACTGTATTTAAAAGAGTGCAATGTGAGAAACAGGTTGGAATATTGCAATATAATCTAAGAAAGAGAATATATGATTTAAAAGATATAAGAGGAAAGAGTTGAACAGTAATGATTTTGAAACCAAGTAATAGCAAATGACGTATTTTGGAAGGATGTTATTTTCATTTTGTACCTGTATAATGTTACTGACAAGGGTGTTTTGAGAAATATATCAGTAGATTATTTGGATGCATATATTACAGCAGATGAAGATAATATTGCAAGAAAGTGCTGTGCAGTTTAGCCATCTTGATTTTCATGGGGACCAGAGTGTACATAACTGCAGTGGCCACTGTCCAAAATATGGAGACGGATGGAAAATACTGGGGAATGTTTATGATCCTTCACACATCTGGTCAATGTTCAATAATATGAAAGGACACTTCTGAATGCTGACATTGGCCCCTTCCACACAGCTGAATAAAATCCTCACATTTTCTGCTTTGAACTGGAATATATGACAGTGTAGACTGTCATATCACCCAGTTCAAAGCAGATATTGTGGGATTTTCTGCCTTGATATTCTGGGTTATATAGCTATGTGGAAGGGCCCCATGAGGTAGCAGGCCAATGAATTTAGAAAACTTCCCTATTTTGGGACATGCACCAGATGTGTGAGGAATCATTTGTAACTTTCCCATCATTTTTTTACCATTTCCACATTTTGTACATTCAGTGTAATTTATATTCCAATGGAAATATAAAAACAATTTTAAAGCATGCAGAATGCTTACCTCTTGAGCTAGTGAAGTCAGAAGCTTTTACAATGTGTTGCGTGTATTTTTTAATTATGTGCTTTGAGTTATAAAGGACAATGAACACAACCCACCACGACTTTCTTCTGCACCAATTCAGTATATAATTTGCTTGTTCACAATGTTGATGCATTTCAGGAGGGCTGGGAAATGGAAAGGTTGATCCCCAATCTTTTCCATCTTTCAATATGTACTGGACTTCAAAGTAAGACAGCGTTTGAATTCTCGACAAATGCTATACTTTACAATCAAAAGCTGGACAACTTCAGAAATGAAACCACATTCCTGCTGCAATTGAATTCTCTTTGAAACCTTCATTCCATTAATCACAAAGGTAAACCCATCAACAAATATGCAAGTGCTTGACAATCTTACTTTATTTGTATGCATTTTTTTACTATTTTAACAAGGATAAATCTGCTTTTTACATAACATTGCATTAAAGCCTTGCTTTGTTTACCCCAAGATATATTTAGAACTGCAAGTTAAGAAAAAATTGTATTAGAAATATATATATCTGTGACAGAGAGCTGTGCCATGCAGTGAGCTTCCTACTACCTATACCTGTTGCTAGAAGTTTGATCAGAATTGATTTCTATGCAGATCTATTGATTGTTAAACTTTTTTTCCAATAAAAATAAATCAATATTATGAGAGTTGCCATCAGAAGGGGGAAAACTGTGATTATAATCCACACATCCATCTTAGTTTGAATTAACAACTGTGCCTGTTACTAACTGCAGATATGATCAAGCCAATAAACATCAAATTAAATGAAGTGACATTTGTCTGAGCAAACTTATTGCATAACGTAGCAAAGAAAGCCTGTTTGTAACAATGCTGGTATAAGGACTTTATCACAGAGAGGTGGAAACCTATACAGTAGTGGGATTGTAACCTTTGATGTTCCCGTCACATGATGTCACATAACCCAGCACTTCACAGTTGTTACACCATCCAGCTTGACATGTAGTTTCATACTGCCAAGTGTCACAGTCATGCAACATCAGAAACGGCAATATCTCCCATCATAATATCAGTAAGTAGGCACTACCCCACATTGTCAGAATACTGCATAATATAGAATGGTGTCCTAAATCTCAGTTGTGCCCCCATGTATACTTTGAATGATGTTACCTGAAGAGTTATACTGTATTACCTCCTGAAACACAATTACTCCCAGCGTAGAAAAGACAATGGCACCGGTCAGTGGCTGGAAGAATGGATTTGTGCTGGAACTCCCCAAGCTGTCTTTACATATCAAGAAAGCACTAAGTTGGCATGCATCCACTACTACAGTCACTCCTATTGCTCTGGCTACAAGAACCATTAGATACTGGTGGCTATGTTTTGGAATTCTACCCTCATCAGGAAAGAAGGAAGAGCAAGGGAACTGCCTCAGACCCACCCGTCAACAGTGAAAACACCTGGCAGGAACTTGGACCTAGCCGCCATGCTTGCAAGATGGAGGCCTAAATATAGTCTGTAAATTACTGTGCTTTCACGTGTAAATTACTGTCTTTGTGGTTAACACGATGATAATTAATGGGATCAGAATTGGCCCTCTTGTTCCCTGCTGTGGTGCTGAAAAACCTTCCCAATTCAAATATCCCATGTTCCATTAGGAACAATGGGGCTACTGCAGGATTATGCCATGCAGTGATGCTTCCCTACATGTGATGGGGAAGTGTCAGCTGTCAGTTGAGGTGCCAGGATTGCTCCACTTCTGCCCCGATTTGCCACAGAGGCAGTACCTTAGCCCACTGAGATTTACAGCACCTTTACCCAATTTGACTCCCACATTCACAGGCCACTGCTACCCCCACGGACCTGGACCACTCTTGGCACACAGATACTCCATGTCCCACTTTGCATCCTGGTGCAGTTTGGGGTAGAATGGGCCAGGAATTATGGTATTTGTAGTACCTTCAATCACACCCAGAGACTACTGCAAGCCTCATTGGCCATGGATCTACACCAGTTTCTAATGGGTCTATTCATAACATCCAAAAACAAACAATGCCTTTTTCAAATCACCGAGGCATCACCGGGTACCCAAGATAGTTATGAATAAGTATTGTTTCCATCCCTATCTCCAAGTTCCAGATTCAAATTCCTACTCAGGTATGAAAATCGCATGGTCACTTTGGATGAATCTCAAGATGTATTTTACACTAGAATTTATGCAGTTTAACACCACTTTAACTGCCATTGCTCAACACTATGGGATCATGGGAGTTGTAGTTTGGTAAGGCAACAATGTTTTGGCAAAGAAAGCTTAAACAGTGGTTCTCAACCTGGGGTCCCCAGATGTTTTCGGCCAGTTTACCAGCTGTTAGGATTTCTGGGAGTTGAAGGCCAAAAACATCTGGGGGGCCCAGGTTAAGAACCACTGGCTTAAAACCTTGTCAAACTACAATTCCCAGGATTCCAAAGTATTGAACCATGGTAATTAAAGTAGTATCACATGGCATAAATTCTACAGTGTAGATCAGTGGTTCTCAACCTGTGGGTCCCCAAATGTTTTGGCCTACAGCTCCCAGAAATCTCAGCAGGTTTACCAGCTGTTAGGATTTTTGGGAGTTGAAGGCCAAAACATCTGGGGACCCACAGGTTGAGAACCACTGGTGTAGATGCACCTTGAGTCTGATTTATTTTATATAGTTCTTATGTGGATAAAACGAGAAAGGAGAACTAAATATATGCAACTTGGAGTACCTTGAAAGAAAGGAAATCAATCAGGAGGCTTCATGATGCACTCATCTGCTACTGCAGTCACTCCTATTCGCGAACTGCCAGGTAGGTTGGAACCTTTGCAGTTAAGTCCCATTTGTCTCGATTTCATTTGGTCAAATTAAAGAAAAAGAAAAAATACAAGATACTAGAGCAGCACTTCCAACACTCAACAAATACCTTGCCAGTTCCAGTGTATGCTATAGGTCCACCTGCATTTTTTCATGCATTGAACTAGCCTTTTAATATGTACTTTAAAGAGCTCTACACATAGAAATGTATTGAAGTGGACATTCTGTTTATTCACACAGATACTCTTGCGTCATACTGAGTGCCACATAGTCTTTAAAAGGCTTAATTTTACTGACAGGACAAAGCATGTATGTTTAACCTTCATGGGATAGCTGTCAGCTTCTAGCAACCCTTTAACACTTGCCAGGGAATTGAACATCATGTCTGCATTTCTCTCTCAGCTATGACCATGTTTGTTTATGCTGCAAGCTTGAAGTCAAACAATTTGACTATGGGGGAAATGGCAGGCAACAGACCTATTTGATCAGGTTTTTCATAGACAGTTGAATGAAAAACACATCTCAGGTTTCAAGAGAGGGGGGGGGGAAACCTCACCACAATGCAGTTTAACAAACTGCTGTCAGTGCTTTCCATATTTAAAGCTGAAAACAACAAAGTGGAATTCAAGCATGGAAGGGAACCATTGGTCTCAAAGGCTAGAAGCCCAAAAATTGAATTTACACCTGAGTGGATTTTTATTTCTATATTTTAAGAAAAAAGGATTATTTTGACAAATGGGTGACAATCCTGCTTCTTTTCTTAGCATATGCTCTCTCACATACATACATTTGCTTTCATGTATACACTATTTAAAGATTATTCAGGTGTGCCAAAGTTTCGGAAAAAGGTAAACTGCTCTCCGACCCTATATACACAAATACATAAAACATTGAACTCAACTGCTGCCTAATAAAAATAAGTTCTTATCTAGCAAATCCAAAGCTTTGCACTTCCCACGGTTTATCACTGGAAATCAACAAATGGCTAAACCTGCCTTGCTGTTTGACAGAACTGGATAAACTTCACAGAAATTGCAGCTCATTATGTAAAGAAGAAGCCTGCCAAATGTTAGCCAAGTGCATGCAGTGGTTTGAGTGCTACAACATCTTTAAATGTCCATTTGTTATTTAAAGTTGACAATCTTTTGAGGGTGAGGGGGGAGGAGAAGTATTGGCTAAATAGCATGAAATTTTCAGGCATGGTTTTGGGAAAATTCTTGCTAAGCAACAACAGGTATATTTTAAGTGTAACTCCAGCTGTGTGTGTGTGTGTGTGTGTGTATATATATATATATATATAGAGAGAGAGAGAGTTTTATATGGCCGCAACATGAGAACACAGGAAAGCTTAGAGAAGTCGATGCTAGGGAAAATGGAAGGAAAAAGGAAGAGGGGCCGACCAAGGGCAAGATGGCTGGATGGTATCCTTGAAGTGACTGGCTTGACTCTGAAGGAGCTGGGGGTGGCTACGGCTGACAGGGAGTTCTGGTGTGGGCTGGTCCATGAGGTCACAAAGCTGGAAGCGACTGAACGAATAAACAACAAATTGTTGTGCTTGTGGGTATATATCAGCTTGGATATACCCAGCACAGCACCATTGTTTCCCAATTTAAGGTGATATTGCATTTTGTTTTATAGAGAGTCAGAAGCGACTGAATGAATAAACAACAACAACATAATTTTATAAAGATAGATAGATAAATAGCCAATCCTAACCAGGACCACCTAGAAACTGATGCCCTCACTGTGGAAGAACATGCAAATCAAGAATAGGGCTACATGGTCATCTACGTATCCATTGCCAAGACACTACACTTGGTAGGCCATCATACTCAGTCAACAAGGGATCGCCTAAGAGGGAGGGAGAGATACACCCACACACAAACAATGGTTTAACATCCCTGTGATTTTTGTTTTACTGTCTGTGTTGCTGTTCTGAAGATTTCATTTCACTTTCTGCCCTGTGATAATTGGATTTTGTAAAACATGGCTTGTTGTGGAAACAAGGATTGGTGAGAAAACTTCAGTGGAGACATCTTTTCCCCATAATAACTCTTCTGAGAGTGAATTTCCCTTCTGAGGGTTAGATTTCTCTCTTTTTCCTGTTGTCTCAGCCCTGTTCTTAACTTTGAGTCATTTGTAAGTCAGATGTTTGCAACTCAGAGCCTGTATATCAGGAAGGTAGACCTGAGTAGGAAAACTGCCACATTTCAAAACTGGGCACAAGAAGCTAGGAAGTAATCATGAATTTAAAACACACTCCCCCCACCCCCATTTTTGTTCAGTTGACAGCAAAACCACAAAAGTTCAAGAAGTTAAACAAATATGTGGCTGTACTGAAAGTAATGCCTATATGTTATTTTCTCTGAAACAGTTGATCCAAATGTGATGCCATTATATGACCAGATACAATCATTTTTATTGTGTGACTGACATAATTTCTGGATTTCTGGGTGTTGCATACCATGGATATGAAGCAGAAACAAAGAGCAGTCAACATCTTGACCAAAGAAGGATGTACTGATGCCAACGTCCACAGAAGACGCATAAGTGTGTATGGTAAAATGACAATATTGATTAAAATAATGTACAAAATGAATTGAAAAAGCTCATGGAAAGCAAAACCAATGCTGAAGACAAACCACAGATTCGGGGGTGCTTTGAATGCAATTTTCCTGCTTCTTGGCAGGGGGTTGGACTGAATGGCCCATGAGCTCTCTTCCAACTCTATGATTCCATGATTCGAAGGCATTTCAGAGCAGTCACCAATGAAAACCAAAATTAAGTTGACATGATTCATGCAGGTCAGAGCATGGCTGTCCAAGAGTTTATTAAGGAACTTGATTGAGGTCCCAGTGCTGTCCAAAGGTTATCCACAACCTTGGATACAGGAAAGCATATGCCAAGTTGGTTTCTCCTCAAATAACAACTGACTTGAAAGGGGAGAGACTATGCGCTTGTTCTAAACTGTTGT